GGTAACTGGTTTATACCATTACCAATACTGGCATGCCAGATACCAATTTTGGCTCTCTCTATCACTCCCTTTTAACATGATTTTGATTTATCTTTTGAACTTGCATCTTACAAAAATCCTGTGGTAACTAACTCCCTTTAATGTTTAGATCCAGATTAAAAAAAATGTTTGGAGGCTAGATGTTAAAATCTTAAAGATTTTTCTTTTAAAATACTTGTTTTTCAGTATTTTGGTGTCAAAGACTCAACAATTTATTACAAGATGTTCCAACAAAGGAACAGCTGTTTATCCCCTTGTTCTTCAGGGGAGTTTACTATTTTAAGGAACCTGTAGTTCTTAAAGGAAGCTTCGTTTTTCTGCTTACATTTAAGCTGAACTCTAAAAATACCTGCGATAACATCACTGCATTGTACATTGTGTACAGAAACGTTTACAGATGTTAAAAACCTGTTTCTCTGCCTCGCTGTCGTCTCAGTGAAGCACGCATCTTGGAGAAAAACCTTTGGCCTGTCAACTGAGACGAAGCACACCCTGCAGTGTGTGCACAGATGCGTTGTGGTTGGGTTGTATTTTTGTCTGGTCACTGATGGGTGTCTCCCCTTCGGTCTCTCCCTGAATATCTTGAAACAAACAAGCTCTACTCCTTCTCTGCCTGCGGGGTTGATTGTTCTCCCTGGAGAATGCAGCTAAAATCAGTGTGAGAAACGAAGAGCTGCAGCAGAGCATGGAGACTCCCCATGAGCACATCAGGAACATTAATACCACTCCCCATGAAAAAAGAAGGACAGCAGAACATCTTCAACACGACTACTAAAGTCAGGCTTAGGAAAGGGACTCACTCTTTTGTGTATTTTTTTATGTTCTAAGCAGCTGGAGTCACAGAGTCCATTCAGGGAACATGTAGACTAACTTGGCTCGGCTCATTGCAGTATGGACCAGGTCCATTTTGTTCAGAGAAGTAGGTCAGAGGATAAAAAGCTGAGCTCTTGTACGAGCAGCTCCAAAATCTTCAGCCCTTCCATACTGAGAGCAGACCTGCTTCGGCAGAAACTGTAATCAAACAATAAAAAGTTTAAAATTCACAAGGAAAAGGTTACAGAAGTGATCAACTTAAGCCACCGTACATTTTAGAGTTGAGGAAAACTCAAGTGACGACTTGAGGTTGAAAACTAGTAATGAAGTGATCAGAATTTTTCAGGCTAGTTTTGATATATATTTTTTTCAATTGACAGTTGCTTAATCAGAACAAAATGCAACAATAGCTGTGAGTGTAGAGTTTGAAATCCTCTAAAATACTTCTTTAAAATTTGCAAGTGGCATATTTAGCATCACTATCAGTGAACGGCACAACATTTTTCTACCGTTTTCAGCCTTGCTGTTACCTGCTGAAAGTCTCGCTCTCTCTCTTTCTCATGCACCTTGAATCTAGGATCTGTGCCCACATGCTGTGGGAAATAGTTTTCTTTCTAAACAGCTTCTGTTTCGTGTCTTCTTCTAAATTTATTTCGAACATCCGATTTGATATTGAAACTAGTCACGTTTCAGAGAAGTTGCTTAGAGTTTACAGAAGGCAGCTGCTCAATTCTGGGCTCACCTCTCATTAAGTGGCCCCGATTAACAGTTGAAAAGCCATTTTATAAAATTCCAGTTTGCCACATCATCACATCATTAGCAGATGAGTAGACATCCATGGTTCCAGCCTTATCAAAATATTACACTTTGTTCTTAGCTGAAGGAGACTGCTCTCATTCCATTTCCAAATCTTTGCCACATGCAGAATGAAGATTATAACTGTATATCCAGACAGAGGAACTGTCATAATTAGATAAACTATTGTGGAAAACATCAGTTCGAACACGCAACAGGCAGCTAATATTAAGGTGTTATAAATTCACACATCATCAATGATAATTATCCTAACGCTTCTTTAGTGATTAGAAAAAACATTTTTTTTTTTTTTTCCCATTTGGCTGGCCAGCAGGTTGAAGATTGTCCTGTTCCAACAGCCAGCTGTTATTTTAGAGCATCTGTCGGGACCGTAATAAAAAGCTGTTAAACTGCTGTAATCCAGCAATAAGGCCTTGAATATAGCAAGCTTCTAGGAATTAATAAAGTCCAATAACTCCTGCCATCATTTACGCTGCTGATGTACATTTAGATCTGGACTGATATCTGAAATTAGTCTGGCATTTGCTGTGTGACTCACACTCTAAGACTAAGGGTTTCTTTGATGAGGCGTTTTAGTGGGACTTACTAAGGACTCTCATTACAGCTTCATATCCGTTACATTAATCATTTTGCTTCCGGTATCTGTGTGATGATTTTGTCTTTTATTTATTTTTTTTCCCTCAGTGCAAACACATCCTGGCCATCTACCTGTGCCAGGCTATGGCTGTGACTCAGCAGGAGACTGTCTCTGATCAGCAGATGTCTGCACTGCTCAGCGGCACCGGGGCCCAGTAACAGGGAGCGGACCAGAAAACGGAGCCGGTTCCCTGTCTACATCCCTGAAACACTGGCCTGGTTTCTGTTATCTGAAACACCACGGATGTTACTGTTTTTTCTTCTAGTAATGTTCTTCATCTCAAATACTGGCAGCTTTATTTTTAGTTGCTTTCTGTCTGAAGCTCCATCGGTTAGGGAGTAAGAACATCTGGACACTGAGGTCATTTCCTAACTTCTATTGCACGGCTATCATTTCCTTCTCATGCACAGCTACTAAATATAAATCATTATTTAAAATGTGGGAATAAAATCCAATCTTACCAATATAAACATTGCCTTTATTAACAAAATAATTCACCATACATACAGATTGCATCATGTTAAATAGCAACATCGGCTGTAGTTTTGTTGAACGAACAAAGTGCCTCTGGAGAGAAAGTTGGACATCAGCTTGACCACAGTGGAGGCATTTTCCTGATTAGTAACAACAAAATAGCACACTTACAAACAGGAACTTGGGAATGAAGTGAAGGAATGTTGAACTTGCCATTGGCAGTATTACTTTTAAAATAAAATAGAAAGGCAACAGTTTGACATCGAGCAGGAAGCCGGACACCTACAGTACTTATTGTCACACAAAAGTCAACAAAGACAAAATTAGATAAGGTTACAGTTTAGACGTCTCCTTTGGAATGGCCCCAAACGTTGTGGCACTCCTGTGTTTTTAGCCCTTGAAGTCAGACAGAGGAGGAAAACCAACAAATGCAGAAAGATAGAACGGCAGCACAGACCCAGCGCTCCACGTCAGAACACCGATGAAGCGCATAAAACGGTAAAATAGAATGTCAGCATTGTTCATATGTGTAGTGAAGACTCCCAGGTGATCTGAACAGTCTGTTAGTTCATAAAACAGCCTCTCCTGCAGCTGTAAAGCTTTTCTTCATATCATAGTGCCTATATGTTTAACGATATTTACTATCTGCTTCACTGGTTTGTGTTGGCACACCTCAGATCCGTTTCACAAACAGGTTTAACAAAGTTGACTCAAATCCTCAACTCTGAATTGAGGAATTCGAGTTTCCAACCTTTGGTGAGTTTTCGATTTCACAAAGGCTGCTATGAATTAGTTTGATCAACTCTGAGTAGGTTCGCTCAATTAAAACACTCTCCGCTCTGTTGTGCCATTTGTAGATCACTAAAATAAGATTCTTTCTTATCAAAAACACATGTCTATTTGGAACTCTGATAGATTTCCCAAATTACATTTTTGCAGCAGAAACTGAATTTCAGAAAGTAAAAAGAAAATATTGTTTTAGTAAGAATTAAGTTTCATATGCCTGGAAATCTTTATACGTTTTAATAGGCCGTTTAGACATTTATCAGCAGACTGTTCATATCTGAAATAAATTTCTTCCTAATCAAAATATGTCCAGTAACAATAATGAATATTGAGATCTGAAATTTGTTTCTAGACATCCAGAATGTTTGTTTTTTCTTAAAAAGGTTTATTTTGACAAGGCAAAATGTATTTCAGATATCACAGATACCTTTTCAGACTAATAAATATGTTAACGGCCTGCCATAGCCTGGTATAACCCGAAAAAAAAAAGAAAAAAAAACATAGCGGAAAACTACTTTTTGAAAAGTAGTGGATCAATATATTCTATTTATGTGAAATCACTTGTCAGCAGGTGAAGATGAAGTATAAAAATGTTCTAACCGGTGCATCATCTCATGGGGTTCATCCTCAGTTTGATCCGGTCTTCCATTACACAGTAAATACTAAGTGGCTGTCGTCAAGTTCTGTCTAATCCCTGTTAAAGATGTCTGTGTAATGCTGCAAATATGAGGAAGGATAAGGTCAGGATTGTCGTGATGGATTGTGAGGCGAAACAGTATAAATATAACTTTCTGAATATGAAAGAACGTCTGATGACCCTCTCCCTATAAATATTTTTTCTGCGAATTACCGGTAATGCCACTCATTCTTTGATTGGAGTGTCTAAAGGACATGCTATGTTTGTGTCTAACAAATGATGCAGTGACTGATTTCCTTTTTATTTTTTGCACAAAACTACACTAGAAGTGTTCTGATTAAACCAGGAAATAAAACGTGATTGGCTTTAAGGAGAGCGGAGACAGAGGACACTTGAGTTTGAGGAAAACCTGCTCCTGAACAGGTTGGCTCATGGGAGAAGGTTACTATGGTAACAGAGGTTGAGGAAACTCTCTTTTTGAGATGGCAAACTTTCCTGATTTCGGGTCTAGAAAGAGTTTTCTGTAAACCTGCTTTGTGGAACGGACCCCCTGACATTGTTCGGCTTAGTTGAGGTCCATCAGTGTTTTATACTTAAATGATTAAAATGATTTTTTTTTCTTAATAAATATTTAATTTCTTGGACTTTTAGGAGTGACTGTTGGGGAAGGGTTGAGGAAAGCATTACTCATATACCCAGAGGACTGACAGCTGTGGAGTCTTATGTAAGCCTCTGCAGGGGGTGCGACTGAAGCCTGGCTGATGGGGGGGGGGGTTATGTAACGGACCAGTGATTTGAAGTCTCATCATGTGGTTCAGTATAAAGCAGCTAAAAGTCTCTGTGCCAAAGCAAAATCACTATACAAGGTTCAACCTGTTCTCCACTTCCTGAGCTTATATGAGGGTAATGAAACCGAAGGTGAGTTTGAGGCTGAACGAACTTTCCTCTGAGAGTTAGAATCAGACACCCTAACCATTTCCTGTGGAATAGACAAAAGGGTGGTTAAAAGACAATGCAAAAAGTGTCTTATTTCTACGTTCATAAAGTCAAAACGCATTGCATTTTGAAAAAGGTTCTGTTTTATATTAAAAGAGTTCTTTTCTATATTAGCTAAATCTGGATTAGCTGGTCCTGCAGCTAAAGATAAAAACACATCAGGGTTCCTCCAAACACCATAACCATTGATCACACTGCTGCCATTAATAATTTACTTAGAAAAAGAGCTGCAATTAACAATAATTTAATCTATCTGGACTGAATTCCTGCTTTGAGTGGGATGCTCACTCAGCAAATAACTTGTTTTAGATTCTAAATACTCAAGTTAATGATTTTATTACTAAATTAATTGATGAATAGTATGATTAATTATTTAAAAACGTATGTATGCAATGTAATGGCTATTTAGGGTTCTGTAAAGCTGAGTTTACCTGAACTATTAGATATTTAGATCCTGTAGTTCTTTCCAGATAACATTCATTTCTGTCAATTACCTTGTGATGTGCTAGTAATGATTTTCCCTTTAAAACATGCTGAGGACCTAATTTAAATTATAAAGTGCATTACTCATATTTTAGAAAGTTTCTCTGACTGGGAAAGATTGATTCTCACTGAACATGATTGTAGATTCTCTAAAATTAAATCATTTGTCTTCCAAGCAAAGAACAGAATAGATGTGAAGCATTTGATTAAACAGTGTTTGTCTGAAATACTTTGACATTTTTGCCACTGAATTGTATAAAGAACCAAAATACACAGCTTAGTGTTTTTTAAAGTTAATAGTGGAATTGTGTTGTTCAGATTAGCCATCAGCTTTAAAATCCAGGAGAAGCTAATCTCTAAAACTTAAAGATCCCAACAGTCATTTACCACAGTTATTACATTTTTACCAGAATTCTTTACACATGCTTAATTAGTAATGCAAATACTATAATCTCAATTTAGGCCTAAAACCTTTAAAATGTTGACATTCTCCATGCAAACGTTCTTAATTGAGGAATGTCTTGCATTATATATATAGTCCCAAATTTTGATTATACCTTTTCTTTTAATTTCTTGTTTTAAAGGTATATTACCTGAACAAAAAAAGGTTGTCCAAAATAGTTTTTCCGTGACTGTTTATAAATGTATGTTTTCATGTTTTGAACTCTATAAATCAAGCATGGCGTCCATCCTGGATAAATGTTTTTAACTGTCACTTGTTTTAGTTTCTGAAAAGGCTGCAGGTAGCCAGTAAAGACCCAACAGACTGCCACTCTCATTTCCCCAGGTTTCTCCCCAGGCACTCCAAGCTCTGGATGGGTTCAATACAGAAGACAAATTTCATTGTTACACACAATTGCAATGACAAATTTCACCAATATGGCAGTAACGATCAGCTTTTAAAGGTCTTAACATCAGGTAATGAAAATGGAAAAGCACAGGAGTTTTTGGAACCAGATGCATGTTATTGTCATTCATGCAGGATATACAGGTCTCCAGTTTGAATAACAATACGCTTTAAAAGGTCTTAAATGCAATTTGCTGTTCTTTTGAGCTGAATTTTATAGCTAAAATGCTAAACCACCTCTTTAAATGAACCTTTTAGCTCTTTACAAACTTGGCACTTGTTTAAGAAATAATGAGGTGCGCTTATCTAAGAGAAGCGTTTACTAATGGATGATATGCAAAGATGGACCCTTTCACCCTTAAGGCCTCCTTCCTAATTAAATGTATCAATAAATTCAGGCTGAAAAGAACTATTCCTGCTCTCAACAAAGGGATGAAGGAAGATGATTTCATTTGAAAGGTCTGTGAGCAGCAGAACACCCACAGGTAAGGATTACTACCACTGTACCTTTGTTTAGCTCCACAAGTACAGATCTAGCCACGCTTGCACACACACACACATTTTTTTGATCATTACATTCTCAAAAGACATGATTTGTAATAAATAAATAATTTTAACACTGGCACTGAATGTTGGGAGTATAAAAACAGCAGGGCACAAAAAGAGTGTTTGTAGTTGGAACAGGGGGAATTCAGAACAATAAATAGCTTCTTAGTTTTGGATCCTCCGCAAAGTATTACAAATCCAGTTAGCCTCAACTATTTACCAATTAAAACTCTTTCAGTAAAAACAAGTTATTTAAGACTTTCTAAACAATTCACAGTCCCCACCCCCAACCCGAATCATAAATAGTCTACATTCAAGGGGGATTGACATCGGTTCATCTTCACATTGTTCTGTAAACATTAGAAACTCAAGACAATGATGTCGATACAGTCCTCTATAGCAAAGGATCGATAGTCATCTTGATCTGGTCTCTGTTCCGCCTGCTGCCGTTGGAGCTGAGGTAAAGCTCCTCCTTGTGGCAGAGGAAGTGCTTGGCCAGGATTTTGCGGAAGGTATTCCTAAAGTCCTGGATGCGGTAAGCGTAGATGATCGGGTTGACCGCTGAGTTGGCGTGCGACAGAATGATGGCCACGTACATGACGAGATCTGGCCTCTGCAGCCCGCTGTAGAACAGCGTGAGGCAGTTGAGGATGTGGACGGGCAGCCAGCAGAGGGCGAAGAGTCCAACGATGATGGAGAGGGATTTGGCGGCCCGGATCTCCTTCTGCAGCAGGCCTTGGTTTTGGCTGTCCCCGTTGCCCACGCACTTGAGCTCGATCTGCCTCAGCTGCTTCCTGGCCACGGTGAAGATCTTCACGTAGATGACCAGCATTATGAGCAGCGGCACCAGCACGCACACAAAGAAGTTAAAGTACACCATGTACTTCATGTCCACCACTTTCTCGAAGAGGCAGGGGCACCCCTTAGTGTAGTTGAAGCTTTCGTTCTTGCACTGTGAATCCTTCATGTTCCACCCAAAGAAGGGAATAAGGCCGATAACAAAAGACAGGATCCATAAAATAGCTATGATCTCTCTGGCAACCTTTCCTGTCATCAACTCCTTGTACCTGGAGAAAACAGGGCACAGGTTAGTTGTGTTTGCAAAAGGTCACGATGATCTCACAAAACACATTTTTATCCATAACTCACAATATCCCAAAAGGTCAGAGTCACAGTGAGATCATATGGTCTCTGATCAATATTCAGCATCATATTCAGGAGCAGAGATGGTCTCTGCAGCTTTAAGTTATTCTGGGCTTGAACTGTTTCTGAACATGCATCGTATTCAACAGTTTTCAGATTATTCGATGAAGCAAGTAACGAGAGGAAAACAGACAGAACTGTTATCTGAGGGCTTGTTGATTTTTTTTTTCTTTTTGCAAAACCTTACAAATAAAATGAATTGTTTGCTTATTTTTTTGGCACAGATCTACTACTAAATATAACTCGTATTTCCATATTTAAAACAACCTCAGATGAAAACGATATATATCCTATCTTTCTATCAAAAACTGAACCAAAGTTAGCAGGAAATAAGTCTGCAGGTACTGCTTATCAATTAAATCAACTCTGCAGGCTTTAACTTCATTTTCCTAAAAACACTGGCTCAGTTTGACGCCTTCTTAACCACAGACACAATGTGTCTGCGTCAACTATGAACGCCTCTGCACACCGAAGGCTTCCTACATTCAAAGTTGAGGCTATTGTGGCCTTCAGCAAAAAGCAGCTTTCCTCATAGAGGTGAAACCGGTATGCCGGTGCAGACTTTTATGAAGTACAGCTTATAAAAAAATAGCTATGCAGGTTTATTGATATTCAGTTAAATGATTGTGGGAGTTTTGCACTGTAGGGCAACACTTTCAATAAAAATAGACAGTTTTTACATTGTGGATTTTTAGAAGAACCTCTGCCCTCCGAGAAAAATAATAAATACCGGTAGATAAAAATACACTGACAAATTCCTCTGACTAGATCTGGATGATCAGCTGACCATGAGTCTGCCACGATCGTTTCCAGAAATGTATCCTCATCATCTGCTGCACAAATGACAGTCTGCTGAAAACTGCAGATTTACGGCTTTGTGGACTTAAGGCGGACTGACAAGCATGAGACAAGGCAGGTTGACACAAGCAGCAGTGTTTGCCAGGGGAAAAGTTGTTTAAATAGGAAAATAGCCACACAAAAAAAACTAACAAACTTAATAGCATCAGCACAGCTTTCTGCCGCAGGTAAGGGAATGAAATGCTAACTTCATAATCTCTAGAACCCTTAAAGCTAAACTGGATGATGCAGTTCAATTAATAAGCAGAATATCAAATACTAAATGGGGAACGGATTCAAATGTGATCATTGCAGCAGAGCAGGTAGCTGCAGCTGAAATGTTGCATAAGAGGAAAAAAGTGGGAATAAGTGACGGACAGCTGTATGAAACTATAAATAGTGTAATGGATTCTCAGAACATGCTGTTATTTTCCATAAGGTATTTTTGTTCTCCACAGAAGCATTAGAGTCTACCTGCAGCCCTTGATGCTTCGCTTCCTCCTGGCTGAAACTGAAAGCATAAATCTGATGTTGCAGCATCAAAAAGTGCATTTCACATCTTGTTTATTTTTCCACATCTAAAGATGAGTAGGTCTGGCTCATGGGACGGTTTGTGGTCAGGTTGCAGCTCACCTAAACGGAAAACTGGCAATGAAATAAGCTGGAAGCAGATTTTTTTTTTTTACAGGATTATTATGCTGAATCTGCTCTACAAAGTTCCTCTAAGGTGTTTTTATAACAATATTACACATTTAAAAAAGAGCTCTTGAACTGAGTGTGTTTTCCCAAATAAAAAGATGCAGAGGTATAACTTGTCTGCCTGTAGGGAAGACAGGGTGAGTCATTTTGGGTTTGTGTCCTGATCGTCCCCATCATGTGAAGCTCGCTGGAAGCCTAACAAGCATTTTCCTCAAAGTGATTCAAAGGCACAGCCGCACGCTAATGACTCATACTGCTGCTCACAGGCGCACACTTGTAACACAGGGGTCAGTCTGAGCTGGAGGTGTCACATGTAATGTGTCTGAGTGTAAGTGCTGCACAGCGGCTTGGTGAATAAAGGAGAACACGGTGCTTTTCTTAGTGGACACTGAGGAAGCTTCTGAAAGGGTCGGGTATTGTGATTGCTGTGTGTTTACAGACAACAGAGGAGACATATTATATTAATGTGGCACATGCAGCTCAGCATGTGTAGCAATTACAGGCCGTGCTGGAAAATTGGCGGGTGTTGCATATTTTAATAATGATAATATAAAAGGTGGTTTTAAAAGTTAACTGTATAAAGCATGATCTAACAGAGTCAGCCGCAGCCTGTGGTACGAAGCTTCTTCGTTCCTGATGAGAGCAGACGTCCATGATCCTGCTAGTCTGAGCAAAACTATATAACAATGCTCACATCCCAGAAAAAAAAAAAACAGTCTTCGAACGTCACATCCTCACTGTGGTATAGGAGAGAAGAAAGTGTTTTTGAAAAAAATGAAGATTTTACTCCATCCTCATATTTTTTTTCCTCCAATGATGCTGAGGGACATCATGGAAAACATACTGCAATCAGTCACAGCCCTTAAACATTTTCCCATTTTTAAATTGCAGCCAGACAGACTTGTGTGTTTTACTGGGGTAGAAAGCAAGCGTAAAGTGGTGCATGATTAGAAAACCAAAGGAAAACAAAATAAATAGGTGTTGCCTTTAATGGTGTTGAGGTAACATGTTTTGCAGATTACAGCTGCAAGTCTTTTGTGGTAAACCGCTGCCAGGTTTGCTCATCTAATGTGTGAAACGCTCTAGACATTTTTACTTTAACATGCTGCTGGATTCACATTTAGTTTTTTCTTTAGGAGGTGAAACGTGCACATTTCATTCAAAGTTTCTTAGCATTGGACCTAATCATCCCTGACCATTTTCACTGTCCCTGCTGAAACAAAAAAGATCCCATAGCATGAATCAGTGCAGGGATGCTGCATTAAGGTCCTTCACATGATGTATGCTAGATAGGGAGTTTAATTCTAGTCTGATGTGATTGGAGCACCTTCCCTGCATGTAATAGTTGTGTCCCTTACATGGCAAACTCATAACTAGACTTTTTGCAGCTTCCTTTCAGCCAGTTTTTCCTTTTAAGTCACTTTTTAAACAGCAAACCCTTGTCCCGTAAACAAATACTCCCACCTAAGCTCTGAATCTTTGCAGCCGCTCTCCTCGTCCGGTGCAGTTTAAGTGGACGGCCAAGTCTGGGAAGGTTTGCAGTTCTTAGAGGAACCTATGATGCCTTCACAGACCTGCTGGAACTATACTGAGATTCTACACATGATGGGCTGGATTGTATTTATGGGTATCAGAAAAGAGACTTAAAAGAAAGTTTTGATTTTGGTAAAACTTTAAAGAACTATGAATCATTTTCCCTTCACGTGACAATTATTTGACTTTTGCGTTTAAATCCTAATAAAATGAGCTGAGAGTTTTGGTTGAAATGTATTTACTTCATGTTCTCTAAACCAGCGGTCCTTCAGTGTCTTCTGAAAACAGAACAACTCACCAGAGGGCTAATTTTGACATTTTATTTGTGTCTCTTGCTCTCCTTTTATAATCCTTTATTGAGCATTTTATCACAATAATCATATAATTATAGAGATTTCAAAATGATAAAAGAAAACTAGCAATTAAAATAAACAGTAAAAATATGTTGGTAATGTATGAAGTCCCAGTTCAAAGGTCAGTATTGGCAGTCCTTCCTCTGACTCCGTAGCCACGCAGTAGCCCTCTGCCCTGCTCTTTAGCGATGGGTGGATGAATATGGTGGTAAATGAACAACAGTTTTCCTTCTGCAGAGCTGGGGTAATTAAATCTGGGATTCATGGCAGAAAATCTGTGCTTCTGTTTCACAGAGAACTTGATAGTAAAACAAAAGCCAGGTTACCATAACAGCAGAAATTATTTTTTAATCGGGATCCCGTTCTGCCCCTGCTTTATCATAATTCTAACAGTTACTGGTTTATGAGTGTATGTGGGAGCCCCGCCTCTGTCCTGTGACCCCTGCTGGGGGCCCAGCGGGCCGCCCCAGGGGCCTTGAATAATACAACAACGCTGGTCAAAGCGACCAGGAAACCAAGGAGCTCATCAGGACCTGCGATCTTCCTTCATTACCACAACGTCCTGCTGTTGGTCTCCATCAATCTGCTCTTCTTTTTAATCCCAGAGCACAACAGGGTGTACAGGATCCGTCTCCCAAAGGGCCAATGTCCTGCCCTCACCACTCCCTGCTTTTCATCCATGGAGACAGCGAGCAAACCGGTGGCTGAACGGATTAGTCCTGGCATGACGACAGCACGCTGGCATCTATCTGCTTTCTTCTCCAAACTCCGCTGAGCTTCCGCCCCCCAGGGGCCACTGACCTGTGCTATACCACACACAAACACGGCCCGAACATCCGCTTTGGTGTCCAGCTGTGTCCACAGCAAACTGTCCGACGGGTGACGGCCACGTTCATCCCTTTGTGTGCAAACTGACCTGCTCAGCCTTTCGATCAATTCAGCTCTATTTAGTACGTTTCTGCAAACTAAACCGGAGGGTTGAGAAGAAACATGCAAAATATTTGCAGGGGTGAAACTCCTCTTCCTGCACAAGCAATAGAAATAATCCGTATTTATAAGAAAAGCTGTTATATCTTTAAGAAAACTCCAAATTTAACTTACTGTCAAGATTTTATTCAGAGTATCTGAAGGGATTGGCTCACCATAGTAATGGTGAGATGAGAGTACAACAAGTAACATCTTCCCAACTCCTAGTAAATATTACAATACAATCCAATAATAATAGAGAACAGATTATTACTAAAACTCAGCTAATCAGTATAAAGTAATTTCATGAGATCTAGATCAGCAGAAAGACCAGAATTGTCATCAACTACATGGATAACCTCCATATGCTGCTGTGCATTGCTTGTCAGCTGGCTGAGGGAAGCAAACTAACTAGGGACACATGAAGTTATGTGAGCCGATGTGAGCTTTGGAACAAAAAATGAGATATCGTCCAT